GATTATAGGCAAACCACCCAAGAGCCATATGACCTGGAAGTTATCAGACCAGAGTGTACGTGCAGCTGACCTGTCACACCTGAGACCAACAGGCCAGACTGAGACCAGCAATACTAAACTAGCCAAAGACAAATAAGAGAAGCAAGAGAGACTTGGCTTGGACTAGAAAGCAAACTGCCAGTAAAAGGGAAGTCTCCACTAAGAAATCACCTGTTGTTTGAGCAGAGGTTAATAGTGTCATCACCCTGGTAGAAAACAGGGCTTAGCCAGTGTGATAGCACATGATGTGGATCCCACTAGTCTGGTTTGTCTTCCTGTCTGACCTGCATTGTAAGATGGGTGTTTCCCAACTACTGTATCAAGGGGAAGGCTGATTGGTCCACAAGAAGACTCACACCACAGCTACCTTCATGAGGTCAACCTGGAAGACAAGGAAGCCCTGGCTAAGCTCCTGGAAATTACCAGGACCAGAGATCTACCATCGTGGGGAGGCAATGCTCCTATTCCCAGATTTGTGTCTATTTACTGAAAGAGCACACCACATACCCAGGAGTATCAACTCAAAATCGCCAATAGTATTCTGATAAAATCAACTACATTTTAACAACAACAGCAAACCTATGAGTATTTAGGTATAGAGTTATATAATATATGATTAGAAGGGAAAGAAAACTAGATTACTATTTGGCTTTAATAGTAACACTTGCCAAAAGAAAAATCAAACAACACCTAGTTGGCCCTTTATATGGCATGAGTTCTATATCCAAGGCCTCAATCAACTACAAATCAGAAAGTTAAGGGAAAAATTTGCATCTGTGCTGAACAATGCATCCTATTCTTTTTTTTGAGACAGGGTCTTGCTATGTAGTTCAATCCGGCCTTGAACTCATTATGTAGCCCAGGCTGGCCTTCAATTCATGGCAATCCTCCTGCCTCAGCCTCCTAAGTGCTGAGGTTATAGGCATGCACAGATATATATTTTTTATCTTGTCATTATTCCCTAAACAATCCAGTACAAGAATTACTTATATAGCATTTACATTGTATTAAGGATAAGTAATCTACAAGTGATTTAAAGACTTCCGAAACTGCTTCAGGAAGTGGCAATACCGGGATAAGTGGGTTCCAAAGGAAGGTGTGTATTCTGAGAGGGATTCATGGCAATGTATCTTTTACCATAACAAATTCTAGCCAGGCATGGTGGCTCGCGCCTGTAATACCAGCACTTAGGAGGCGGAAACAGGAGGATCACTGCAAGTTCAAGGCCAGCCTGAACTATACAGTGAGACCCTGTCTCAAAAAAAAAAAAAGAAAAGAAAGGGAAAAAAAAGAAAGGTGCCATAACAAATTCTCTAAATTTAAACATTAACCATATTTTTCAATCACACCTCATCTACATTCTCAAGCCACTTTACTTGATCATTAAAAACAATCACCACAGCCAGGTGTGGTGATATATATATCCCTGTGATCCCAGCATCCAGAGCCTGAGGCAGGAGGACCACAGTGAGTTGTGAGTTTAAGGCCAGCCTGGGCTACAGAACGAGACCCTGTCTCCAAACACACACATACACACACACACTCACAAGTAATGAAGATTAAACTTACCACTCAGACTATGATCTAGAAACACTATTTTCCAAAGAAACCATGGCTTCTGAAACAAATGGCTGATTCATCATGTCTAAGGTAAGCATGAAACACTCACATATCAGACAGCAAAGACCACAGGCTAGTTTCAAAAGGACTAAGGAATCTTGATGAGGTTCTCACTGGCAATCTGTGCTTTGAGAAATGTAATGGACTGTAATCCACTTATCAAACATGTTCAAATCCACAAGTTCAAAATGAAATAAAAGGTGAGGTTAACTGGTCACTTGAGGATGAGAGAAAACTAATTCATTATCTCAAAAACTGGGTAAGTAAAAAGGAAGGAATCAAGTATTTATCCTCCTTTTCTAATAGTAAGCAAGAGTGAATATTATCTTATAAAATTTTATCAGACGAAAAATTAAAAGCAAAATCAAAGACTTTAAGCCAGGTATGGCTGGCACACATCTGTACTCCCACCACTCTAGGAGGCTGAAGCAGGAGGATTACATGCCCAAGCCCAGCCCGGGCAACCTAATGACTTAGCAAGACCCTATCTCAAAAAAGAGGAGTGAGTATATAGCTCAGTGTGAAGGCATTGTGTTCAATTCCCAGTACCAAACAATGTATCAATAATTTCATATCACTATTTTTGACCCCTAATGAATTACTCCATCTGGAAATTAAGTACCAATAGGTGCAAGAAAACAGACACCTGATGGAAGAACCTAACACTAGCAATAGTCCTGTCTAAGAGACTGAAGCTGAATCTCCCACCTTGGGATCCAGCTGTCAGTTTGCAGGAAACTCAGACAGCACAGTGGACATATCAAGGGGTACAGACAGCTGAAAAGGCAGGCCAAGAGTCAGAACATTATAAGGACAGAAAAGGATGGAAAAGCAACTTAGAGAAACTTAAAAGAGGACACACCAGGGTTTTTTAACCATTAAGACTAAATTAATAGTGTTGGGGGATGCACCCCTGATTGATGAATACCTTACTGACAGGAAAGAAAGTGAGGGTTATAACAGCAGGGACAGCAGCTCCTTTGTTTTTGTTTTTGCTTTTAGTAGCTCCTTTTTGAGAGGAAGGGGCTATGATGGCGATGGGGCAGAGAGAGCAAGCACCTGAGTGCACAGGCTGGGGCAGTCCTAGGTCTTGACATGTGGGGTGTTACAGGGTGTCCACTCAGCTCACATGATTCACTTATCACCTGAGCCATGTAAGTCTTTCCTGTGCTTTTCTCTGTGTTTTACAGTATGAAGACTTATGTTTTATCTCCTGCAGTACTAGGGATTGAACAGAGTAGGGGGTGCTCCACCACTGAGCTATATCTCCAACCCTTTGCATTTTTTAATTTTGAGACAGGGTTTCACTAAGTTGACCAGGCAGGACTCAAACTTATAATAGGATCTGTCTCATCCTCCCTCAGTGCAGGGATTAGAGCATCACTGCCATTTTTGTGGCTGTTTTTTTTTTTTTTAAAGGCAGACTACAGTCAGGGACAGAACAAGATGAATTAAATCTGCATTTTCAGGAGCAGATAAGAAGCTGAGTGCGGTGGCACATGCCTCGAATTATACCACTTGGGAGGCTGAGGCAAGAGGATTTCCACGAGTTCAAGGCCACCCTGGGTTATATACAGAGTTCAATGCCAACTACTGAGTGAGATCCTATCTCAGAAAACCAAAAAAAAAAAAAAAGAAAAAAACAAAAAACCCCCAAAAAACCAAAGCAGCTAAGACTCTGAGTTGAAGATTCTGGTCTAAATGATCATCGGGTCTAAATGATGTTCCCCTTAGCAAAATGTGTCTGTAGCCTTAAAATGATCAGTTTAGCAGGGCACATTAAACAGAACAATTCCTTTCAGCAGCAGCAGCACATTTCTTTAATATGCTTTAGCTGCCAAATTATGAGATCATAGGAGGAGTCATGTTCAACCAAAAGAAGAAAAAATGAGTAGATGTTTAAATAACACAGTTAGGAATTAATTTATGTTGGGACCAGGGATATACAGCTCAGTGGCACAAGTGTCTGCCTGGCCAGGGCAAGGTCCTGAGTTCAATTCCTGATACCAAAAAGAAAAAAAAAAAAAAAGAGATGAATTAATTTATGTAAAATAATTTAATGAATAAAGCATTTCAAACAATGTGTCGGTCCACAGATTAAAAAAGGAATGTAAAAGTAATGTGGCTTACTACACGTGGTGATGCATGCCTATAATCCCAGTACTCTGGGAGGTTGAGGCAGGATAGCAAGTTATTCTGGGCAACTAGGGAGACCCTGTCTCCAATTAAAACATAAGGGGTTGGGAGTGTGGTTCAGCATGAATACGCTAGGTTCAACCTCCAGTAGCACCAAAAAACTCCTCTCAGAGCTCTATCCTTGTAATGCGGGAGAATGCTTATAAAATTAGGGGTGGTCTTCAGTTATCTCTGGGGCAGCAGTGCTTCCCTAAAATCATGTTTTTGTGTAACCATTACAACATAATTTTGGCAAGTATTACAAACCAATCCAAACTGATAATCACTATCTTAAGGTTAAAGATCACAGACAAGAACAAGTAGCATTATATTAAACAGCGCTCTTGAGCTGGGCACATTAGTGCCGACCTGTAGTTCCAGCTACTCAGGAGGCTGAGGCATGACGTTTGAGCCCAGGAGTTTGAGGCCAGCCTAGGTAACATAGCAAGAAACTGACTGAAAAAAAGAATTCCCAAGTCTGCCTTCATATATACTGTACTTTTGGAATCTAAATGAAGGAAGTTTTTTGTTTATCTTCATTTAAAAAAAAACTTTCACAAATGAGTCAACTGGACAGAAAACATCTTCTGACATTAGCTTGGAGGGAAGAACTTGCTAAAACTTTTATCATCTCAGTACCTATTACAATCCCATTTTATGTGCACAACTGTTGGCATCTTACTGCACTGTAACATGAAGTCTGGGATGGCAGTTCTTTTCTGTCCTTTTTGGGATATAAGAGGGCATGCAGTCAAACAGCATTCACAATATTATTAGAAAGTCATTTTAATTTCCCTTAAATCTTCGCATAGAACAGAGGTAAACTGTCAATAAGCATATACACATATACATTCACACAAAAGAAGAACAGACAATATAGTACAACCTGTTGATAAAGGGGCTGTAAAAGACTATCTACAGTTAAGCTTTTTTTGTTTGTTTGTTTATTTGTTTGTTTTTCTGGTACCAGAATTTGAACTCACGACCTCACGCTTGCCAGGCAGGTGCTGTTCCACTGAGCTAAATCCCCAGCCCCTACATTTGAGCTTTAATGTGGCTAAATCCTTGAATAATCCAACAAGCCAAACTGCTGGAGGGACGAGAGAGGGGGCTCTGGGCAAGTCTCACTCACTAGCCTGCATACATGCAATTCCCTGGGTGCTTACCATAACCGTGCAGTCCTCTGAACCACTGGCAATGACCTGATCATTGTGTGGGCACCAGTCTATATCCAGCACTGGTCCTGTGTGGCCACATACCGTAGGGTAGGATTTGTCAATTCGACCCGTCTGAAAAAAGAAACAAACAAACCTATTAGCCCATTTCTTCTTTACTATCTCCCCTTAAAACTCAACTGTCTACACAAGATGCCATTTATGTGTCAATGTGAGCTAGTAAGAATTGTAAACTTTCTTTTCTAGAAATAGCTCTTACCAAGAACACTTCATTAAATTCCAACGATCCAAACTTGCATTATAAACATTACAAAGAGAATTCATAAGTCCTTTTTATCAAAATACAACTCTACAAGAGCCAAACTGTCAATCATTGGTATGACTCTACTGAGGGGAGAAAAAGCCAAGCATGGTGACACACACCTGCAATCCCAGCTCTCTAGATGGCTGAGGAAGGAGGATTACAAATTCAATACCAATCTTGGCAATTTAGCAACTTAGTTAGACCTTATCTCAAAAAATTAAATAAGAGAGTTGGAAAGCGCCTGCCTGGCAAGCGCAAGGTCGTGAGTTCGGTTCCCGGTACCGGAGAAAAACCAAAAAAAAAAAGAGAGTTGGGGATATAGCTCAGTATGAAGGCCCGGGGCTCAATCTTCAATACACCCCCCCCAAAAAAGCTCTTTGGTATTACTCAAAATGTGAAAAATTTAAAAGAACTTTAGCTACTGCTTAGGGGATAAAGGGCACACATTTTTAATGTCTCAATCTCTCCACCGTCTTCAACCAACAGCAATGCCAGCAGACAGTTCAACAGTTCTGACCTTACCTGTTACTCAGTTCACACATCATGAAGGATGAAGTTCAGTGCTGGCCACAGTCACCACAATTTCCTCATGTTTCACATGCAAACCTAACACGCCAATCAGATTGTTTGAGACAGGGTTTCACTGTAATTCTGGCCTTGAACTCACTATGCAGCCCAGGTTGGCCTTGAACTTGCAGGGATCCTCCTGCCTCTGCCTCCTAAATACTGGGATTACAGGCGTGTGCCACCACACCTGGCTCACCCAGACTTATCACACCAATTTTGTGTCAACCAGGACAACTGCTGTAGTGACAGGTATATAATATATAAAAGTGGCTTTCTTTTCTTTAAAACAGGGTTAATGTCAATACACCCGTGACTGTATGTGCTCTAAAAGCAGGTGCACAAAATGGAATCACTGCACAGTGTAAACGAATCAATTGCTGTTGTTGCTCTCTTGCTATGCCAAGTTGTCCCAACACCGGGCCAGGCTTCTTAGCAATTTTTAAAGATCAGTAAACTATGATTTCTCCAATTTTACTTGACTGTGGAAATACCCAGAGAAGCAATGTGCTAAAATGCTACACCTTAGGCTCTGGAGTCAGACAGGTATGGTTCAAATCAGGCTCTAGGACTTAAAACACTGGTTGACCTTAGACAAGTCAATTTATCTCTTTAAACTCCAGCTCACCGTCTGTAAAACAGGTAACAATAATACTTAACTCCCAGGATTATGATGAAATTAAAGGAGAATGTGTTTAGGCAAATCATAACTCAATATTATAACCGGCTGTGTGAAGTATGTAAAAAACTTAATTATAGTATCAAATATAATAAATACTCAATAAAAAACTGTCACATTATGAGTTCTTCTTACATAATATCTATATTATTCCATCAAGAAATAATGGATACATATGATTTATGAACTCTTATGGGTCACACACATTGCTGAATGCTGAAAACACAGATGTGAACAGGACAGAGACATTTAAATAGCTATTTACTGGCTGGGGAGATAGCTCAGCAGCATAGGCGCCTGCCTGGCAAGCGCAAGGTCCTGAGTTTGATTCTCAGTACCGAAAAAACAAAAACAAAAACAAACAACAACAACAAAACCCCTAAATATATATATAAAAAAAAGAAAACTAAATAGCTATTTACAATGCAGCGTGAAACACGGTCCATGTGAACAGGCACAGGGGTAGGGAAACAAAGAACGTTCAGCCAGGCTTGCGGGAGAATCACAAGTCTTAGGAAATTTTCTACTAAGAAAGGCAAATTCTAATTGAGATTTGAAGATGGCTCTATTCACAGATCTAATAAGGCTTAGGGTTCTTCACATCTTCCCTTCAAAATTCATTAAACCCTGGGGTTGGGGATGTAGCTCAGTGGTACAGCATTTGCCTAGCTAGCATGCTTAAAGGCCCTCGATTTCATCTCCAGTACTGGGGTTGGGGAACGACTACAAGGAAATACCAATGAACACCATATTATATAGAATCTGACAGTTATAATAATATAACTATTTGGGTCATCAACAGGCAGCAAGCAAAATACAAAGAGCTGAAAACCACACTGCCCAGGCTTTGCCGTTTTCTGGCTGTGAGTTCTTGGCCAAGCTTTTACAGCCCACAAGTTCAGTTCCAAATCTGTAATACTAGAATGTTAAGAGTTCATTCTTTAAGAACTGATGTAGAGAGGCACGGTGGCTCATCATCCTATAATAGTAATCAGTACTTGTGGGGCATAAGCAACAGGAGGACGGACCCCAAGTTCAAGGCCTGCCTAGGCTACATAGTAAGTTCAAGGCCAGCTTGGACTTTACGGTGAGATCTGTCTCAAAAAAAAAACAGAAGGAAGTGATGTAAGGACTAAATGAGACAAAGTGCTTACTATCCCAGCACTTGACGCGCTTTACAAATGTTACCTGAAATTTACCAAAACAGTAGAATCCATTTTTTCGTATCTCTGATCATGTCTCTGCTTAAAGAAGGAACAATTATTAAGCACCTAAGCCAGGAAGTTTTACCAAATTCTTTCACTGTAGCCCCACAAAAGCCAATAGGAGACGATTATCTGACTTGCACCCCTGGTAATGTTCTTTGGCATAAGTGGATGGCAGCAGACTCACAGATGTTTGTTCTGTTTTATGTAATTATTTCAAAATTACAATTTTTTTTTTTTGGTCTTTATAGCCCAGGCTGGTCTTGAACTCATGACGATCCTCCTGCCTCAGCCTCCCAAGTGCTGGGATTACAGGTGTGTGCCACCACGCTCAGCCAAAATTATAACCTAAACTACAGATACAGTTATTCTTTTGAATGTATGATACTTCATAGTTTAAAACATTCTAAAAATCTAGTCTGACACTCATTTAAACAGATATTCCTAGCCAGGTGTGGTGGCACACACATGTAATCCCAGCACTGAGGGAGGCTGAGGCAGAAGGATTACAAACTCAAATCCTGCCTGGGCAATTCAGCAAGATCCTCTCTCACAGTAAAAAATAAATAAATAAATAAAAACGGATGGGGATGTAGCTCAGTGACAGAGAGCCCCTGGCTTCCATCCCTAATATCAATAAATTAAATTAAATAAAATTTTAAAAATTCCTCCAGGGTCCAGGGGTTTGGCTCTGTGGTGCAGCACCTGCCTGGAAAGCATGAGGTCCTGAGTTTGACTCCCAATATCTTCGCCCCAATATTCCTCCAGAACGAATAGAGACAACATTAAAAGAGGTAATGCCTAAGTGCAAGTCTTTAGATTCAAGAAGCATAAATCCCAAGTAGCATAAGTGAAAATTAATTTATATTCACACCTTCACACAATTTAAAACACTTACAATGGGCAAAGGATGTAGCTCAGTGGTAGAAGTCTTGCCCAGCATGCTTGAGGCCCTGGGTTCTACAACCTAACAGAATAACAGGCAGAAGTATGAGCAGAGAATTCATAAGGAAGGAAACCTGAAAACCAACAGGTGTATGAAAAGACAATCTTACTGGTTACTAGGGAAGGACAAATTAGAACAATAAGGTAACCTTTTATTTCAATTAAAAGCAGCAGAGGGACATGTACGGTGCAGTGTATCTATAACGTCAGCACTTGAGGGGGTTAGGCGGGAGGACTGCTGGGAATTTGAAGCCCGCCTTAGGGTACATAGTGAGTTCAAGCCCAGAATGCATAGTGAGACCCTGGGGTTTTTTTGGTCTTTTTGAGACAGTCTCGCTATGCAGTTTAGGCTGGCCTTGAACTCACTTTGTAACCCAGGCTGGTCTCAAACTCACAAAGATCCTCCTGCCTCAGCCTCCCGAGTGCTGGGATTACAGCCATGTGCCTGGGGAGACCCTGTTTTAACAAATAAGCAGCAGAAGAGCCGGGAATGTAGCTCAGTGGTAGAACACTTATGTAGAACACACAAGGCCCTGAGTTTAATCTCCAGTCGGGGTGGGAGGGGAACGTCTGGCAAAATGTAAAACTCTAAATATAAATGCCAGCAAGAATGTCAGAAAAGCTGGACATGGCAGCTCACACCTGTAATCCTAGCACTTGGGAGGCTGAGGCAGAAGGACTGCTGTGAGTTTGAGGCCAGCCTGTACTACATAGTGAGACCCTGTCTCAAAAAAAGAAAAAAAAAAACAGGATAGAGGAACTCATATAAAGTATTCATGGGAAAACACTCCGTTGTAATTCCTTTCATGAGCAATATGGTAACAAGATGATGTCCACCCCCCAGCAATACCACTTCTAGGAGGTATGGGTGAGAAAAATGCTCCCAAATTTTTCACAAGAATATTTATTGCAGCATTGCTAAAAATGGTGGCAAAGGTAGAAACACTTTCATTCTGCATTAGTATGCGAATAAATACTTGGACAAAGCTTCACACGCTGATTTTTTTTGTACTGGGAATCGAACTCATGACCCTGCGCTTACCCAGGCCACTGAGCTACATCCCCGGCCACACACATTGATCTTAGGCAGCACAAAAAACTTTTTTTACACATAAAAAATAAAAGTGTATGTTATAGATACATATGCATATAACAAAAATGATCATATTTGAGAAAATGAAAGTTGACATGAAGAAAAGGACATGGTATTTTAGCTACATTGTATATTTTGTTTTCCAGAAAAGAAAGCTATGAAACAAACAAAAATACTAACATCTGCTTAACTTTGTGGAGGAGAACATCAGTATCTTATTATTTTATTTGATGTTTCCTTCCTATTTTGAAAAAAACTTGAAATATAATAAAGGTGAGAAACATACCAATGTATTATTAATAACTTTATATTTTATGTTTTCCC